GGACACACGTGTTCCAGGAGAAAATGACGTTTCTCACAAGGAAACAAAGGACACAAAAGGAGGTCTGTTCATGATTAGTCATGGACCCTCTTGGAAAGCAGACGCATAAAATTTTACGATGTTTATGGCGACTCGAGAAAAATCAACAGAAACCCGATATTATTTCAGAGTGTTTATTCCTATGTTTATTTCAACGGTCTATATTTTCCTTTTCTTCCAATGGACCTCTATATTCGAAAATTGAAATAATGCATCGTTCTTCTCCGGAAAACACGTGCCCCAAATACGCAGTATAAAATAAAAGAAGGATAAAATAATTATTTAAATTCAATTATTCTGATCAGACTAATATTTAAATTGCCCGCCAGGTGTGCATAACGCCACCTAGTTACGAAGGGCCAGCGACATAACAAGACCTTTTCATTCTGAGAGTCACTAGATTTGCGGACACTTTTCCCATGTTAATTCCCCTAGGATTTGCGGACACTATCGAATTTACATATAAATCATGGTTTTGAGCGCTCAAGTGTATATCATTGTAAAGTTCAATATTTATCAGAATTTTCCATGGTTTTTTCGGAGATTTTTTCGTTGAATGAGCGAAATAAATATTTCCCCTAGATTTCCAGAATGAAAAGGTCTATTGGCAGCACTGAAATGTAGTATGTACACTGAAAATGTAGTATATACAGAGATTATAAGGGAGATTGCTAGCGCCTATGGAAACGCTTCAACCGCAAAATTTCGTAGCGGTGGCGCAGAACTAATTTTGAGTACGTACCTGTAAGTAAAACAGGGAGCGTGTGAGAGCGTCGATAACGGCGTAGAGTGGGGGGGAACGCGTATGGGGGAATCGGAGGGCGGAGCAAGCGGTGATGTTCGCTCTCGAGTAGGTGAGGGAAACCTACCGCAGTTCGAAACGCCGACGGGCGGCGGAATCCTGCCCTTAATATAACAATCAATTTCTCCTTCCCTAATGAGGACGAAGGGATGAAACGGTTGCCAATCGATTGAAAATTGAATCCTCAACTGATTGCGATCTGTTTTATCCCTTCATCTCAATTAGAGGGGGAGAAACGAATATTTATGGATC